AGGAAAACAGAATAAACTATTATCATTGTCTTTAAAAAATCATAAAATCCATATAAATTTAATTTTCAAATTTATTAACGTTTTATTGGAAAAAAAATTCAAAATTTTTACTTTATATTTTATTGAACGTTGTAAATTTATAAATCGAAAGACAAAATCCTACGAGGAGATACGTTCGACGCAACGGCGACTTATTGTTGAGCAATATTGGATCGTTTCGGTCCGTTTTCTCTCTACATTTGAACACTTTGTTTATTGTCCTACTACCTGCGTTACTAATTACCTACGAAATAACTACCAGTCTTTTGTGACGTTTGTCTCGTTGCTACATGTCTACTTTTTTTCACTACGAGAAAATGAGGCCCCATAGGTAACTACTACTTCTTTATTAAATCTGCAATTCGCTACGCGTTCTCTTCTGCTTCTACGATCACAGTTTTACCGAACATTGCCAACCGCGAACAACTCCGCGGAAATATCGCGTTCTCGATATGTATTTCGAACCGGTAAATAAGAAACGGTCTTCCTAAATCTACGATATTGCACTTTTTGAAATTGATATTTATCACGCCCGGTCATTTGATCACTGATCGACATATATTAATTAATACTTTCGATTTCTTTCGTTGACTACTCACTTCAAAACGAAGGCTAGAACAGTCTTAATCGAGGAATGTGTAAAGTGCTGTTTAATCTAATATAATATTTTATTAGAAAATAACTCATTTATTACGAGAGACTAACTTTTTCCTCGGCATGATTCTTTCCAGAATATTACAATCGATTATAAATAAAAATTTTAAAGAACACGTTGTCTTCTTTGGCCAATTAAGTCTTAAATAGATTCGATAAAATATATATTTCTTTTATATGAGTGTATCCAAACTATTGAGTTTCTATAATTTCTGCAAATCTAAATCGATCTATCCGAAATAACAAGTTTTGGCACGTATCAAATGTTATCTTTGAACAAGATCGAGAAAAAGTATTGTGTTTGCGATTTAAAACCGCATTTTATTTTGTCGTCCTTCAATACATACGAATCGTAAAACTCACGGTAACATACTACATCAAGACCTGTAAAAATTTTGTTGTCGAGATAAACAAAGTAAAAAAAGGACGACTGATCGATTTAAACGAAACAACAATCGGACGTAAGTAAGTGACACCCCTGTGGATGAGCTACAATTATTGCGGCCGCGAAAGGGGTGTAAGTATTGTTGGTCATAGGCCGATCGTGGGTATTGGATGGTAAACGGCGCCCATGTCGAGGCCCTGAACACCGAGCAGATCGCTCATGGAGTAGGTGAGAGCGGCGGCGCGGGACGCGGCCGCGACCGGATGCGGCCGGTAAGACGCCGCGGCCGCGGCCGCGGCTGCTGCCGCGATCGCACGCTTCACGTCATAAACCGCCGCCGCGGTGGAAGCGGCCGCGGCGGCTGTCGGCGCGGCTGCACCGGCCGCGTACTGGTAGGTAGCGGCCGCACTCGGAGCGGCGGTAGCGACTATCGGAGCCAGCAAGTGATGGTGAGGAGGCCCGGCGGTGGCTGCCGCGGCTGCATGTGCAGCGGCAGCGGCCGCCGTCGGCAAGGGATACGGCGCGTAGCGATAGGTGGTGGGGGTGGGTGTCGCGACCATCACCAACTCACCGTATGCGCCTCTGCTGGCCGCTCGCGTCTTCGCCAGATTCGCTGGGAGCATCACTTCCTTTGGCTGTGCCTTCTTGCATTCGACCTTGAAATTTTAGATAGAGCAGGTAAAGAGAGGGGGACGGGTAAGAAAGACGGCCGACTCGAACAAGAGTTGAAAGGAAGCTGATGATTAGGACAGGTGTCGAACATTTCGTAATTATCTAGGCGAATTGTTCAAGTGTCGATTATGCATCGATAACGTATGAATAATCCTTGACAAGAAATTAAAAACATTATTCTTATTATTTGTTGCTTACACTTTCCGTCAATCATTAGATATAGCTAAAAGTACTAAAATTTTTGTTTTTTGCTAAAAATTTGGTAAAGAAATAACTAACTGTAGAAAGTGAGAGTTTTGAAGACGATATTGACTGGGTTATCGCGTGCGCAGCGAGCTTATCTTAGGATTATTGATACGAGGTAGCATCAAGAAAATACTTGACTCGTAAGAGAGCTTTTCGTTGTAGTGGAAAGCAAATAAAGACTTCTGTTACGGGAGGAACTGTAGCCAGTTCTTCCCTTTTTCATCTATGATTTCTTCTGCATGTACATTTCACATGCGTGTCAAATATAAATAACAGAGATAGACCTTCTCGATTATACGGAAAATTAATTTTGCTCAACACTGTAGGCAGGGAGCAGAAGTCAAATACCTTTTGACGCGACCTCTGAGGTTATATAAAGTAAAGGGAGAGCACCCCTTTGGGGGGGGGGGGGGGCAGAAGGTTCGTTCTACGAGTAGACTTTACAGGCTGGCTACTCACCATTTTGTTGTTAATTTCGTGGAAATGGATCTCGCAGACTTTGTCGACGACATCCTCGCTTTGAAACGTGACAAATCCAAAGCCTGAAAGTAAAAACATACAAAAACATTCTCATTAAATTTTTATTACATTTTTGTATTTAATATGATAAATTTAAAAAGCAAGTGATTATATATATCATATAAAAAGGTCTCTACTTTTCTTCCAAATTTAATTTTGTAATTTCTTGCGTCTTCCAATTTTCCAGCTTTAACGAAATGAATCATAATAATCCTTGACTTCATTATCCGTATCATATCGTATGCATATCACATTAAATGGTAAGGTAATGTTATTTACTATAAATGTATGATATCTTAGCGATCGGATTAATTCACATTAATAAATGCGTATACATAATTTTGAATTAGAGTAACTGGTAAGTGGCAGGGACGCGAAAACTCTCCGATTTTGCTGCATATTCGCGGGGATAAGAAACCATCCCGGATTTCCATTAATTTAGCTGACGGAGTAAACGAGTCTCGCTTCTTCCCTCGTACCGCACGAAAACGCGGTCTGTAAGCGAAATCTCCGCGAAATTTATTTCAGCTGAAGACGAACAGCGGGGAGAAGGAGAGACAGCGAGCCGGAGAAGAGAGCCGTAACTTAATCAAGCATCAAGGGTTATTAAAAACTTTGCATTGCTCTCCGGGCGATTTTAATCTCGCCTTTTCCACGCGCCGGCGCTTCTCTTCTAGCTAGTAATTCAGCGCCGAGATATCCGGCAAGCGCGAGTTATACGAATCCAGCGCGCGATGTTGCTTAAGATAACCAGGATTTAGTACTTCCGTACCAAAGCAGTTGCCGAAGCTGCGTTAGGTGACCCGTAATTAAATGCATCCGGTGGTCATCCGGGAGGAATGTAAGCTGGCAATCCGCGATTCTAGTCCGGTTTTGTGAGGAAGTTTGCGTAAAATGCGGTACGTTGCAAAAGTTACAGAGATTATTAATTTCCATGTAACTTATCTCTATTAATATCGTCGAAATTGATTTCCCAACGAAAAGATTTAAACATTTAATGAAACTTTCAGTTATCAGTTCAGATTTAAATGTTCAGGAAATAGTGAGTTTAACAAACAAAAAGTAGTAGTACGCTTAGGACACAGGAGCGGGAGAGGGAAAGGGGAAGAAACATTCTATATATTTTTTTTATAACAAAATGATTAAGATATATTCGAAAGACTCAGAATGTTTAAATTTATTTCAGTTAGAAATTAAATTAAAGGATGTGCGATCGATCGAGTGAAAGTCAGAAAAAATAATCAAGCTTGCGATAGATATCGTTCGCTTAGTTGTCAAATAAAACGGTCAGGCCAGAGCCGTTGCTTCTTGAAGAAAACTTGCTAACGTTGAGACAATATGTGCGTGACACATTCAATTATTCAACGCTGACACCATTAATCGTTCGGCTTGTTCTCTGCCGGATTCTTTCTCGCTTACATCTCCTACGCTATCCGTCGACGGCATACTCACTCTCATCTCGACCGTTTCGTTCCGTCTCGCATCCTCTCATCCATCTAAGCTCCTCCTCTTGCTACGGGTATAGCACAAGTGATTAAGTTATAAACTTGGCAAGACGTCCGTTTGAGCGCGGAAGGGGCTTACTTCATTTATGTAATTTATAGTACTCTGCCAGTCTAGCTAACTCCACGAAGCCCAAGCACTCCCCTAACACAAAGGCCATGTCCTGACACCGGTAACATTTAACTACCCTACCTTGGCCCCCTCCTCCCATTACTTTGACGATTCTCTCCCCGCGAGCGTAGTGCGACGCCATGGACTACCGTTGACATTCCTTGATAGTGTTCGTCTTTTCAAATATATGTTGCGCAGAGTATTAAATAATCTCCCTTTAGAAGAAAGTAAAGGATTATAATTTATTTTATAGAAAATAATATATTTTCGATTATATTCCGGCAAACAGACTCTCAAAATGTCTTTAATAAGATAAAGTATCGTATTTCTTAATTGTTTTGAAGGTAGAACCCTTGTCATCTTCAAGGCCTACTTTTTTAAGGCGTTGAGAATGACGAGGGACCGGAACAGAATGAATGTGCTAGCACGGTCAGCGATCCGCGCAAGATCTAATAAATTGTGAATGGTGAGACGATCCTCTCTCGACCAAACTCCGAATTTTCATAAGAAAATTTATCTGTCGTGGCTGGGCGACCATAGCCACCCCGCAAAGCTCCATTTTCGCTCCGTAGCCAACGTACAAAAGAACGTAACCGCTCTCGTCGATCGGCCTCGCAGGGTTGAATGAGACGAGGAAAAAATGCGTGCTCAGCTGATCGACCGTTGGTTGCCAGATGTGCTCATTTCAATAAAAAAAGCTCGAGATATCCTTCATCCCGTTCTCATGGTCCATCCTTTTGGTCTCTGAGAGCTTAAATGATCTATAAGTCTCTCTCAACGGCGTGAAATTACCGTCGCAGCTTCTCCATCGCAAAGTTATGGCGCATCCTTCTTACGAGGATGCAAATCGGGATATCTTGAGGATTCATAAAAATCGTGAAGTTATGGCGAAAAAAATTATTTACGATCTCGCGAATGGCCACTCAAATGTATTATGTTGGGCCGATAAAGTGAAAGCTCGTGAGTCTCTCATTATTATGTACGTATATCTTGTTATCAAGTGATGTATCAAATTGTCGTTTGATTTACAATTAATAATATTCGCAGCACATACTTATTACATAATAAAAAAGACTTAGTGTGTTATGAGAAAATATTTAATTTTTAGACATTGGCTTATAGGTATCTCGGGAAGGCTAAAGCCCCTTGCACAATGCCAAACAACAGGCAATAGGAACAGGAAATAACCAAAAAATCGTTAATTACAACCTAAAAAGTTTGAATGCTATGATTGGTTGGCAACAGGCAATAGGCACAAAATTTCCAACGTGACGGAAACTCTGTGTCTATTGCCTGTGTCACTGTTTATTCTGCATTTATACATGATTTCTGATTTCTATTCCCTGTTCCTATTGCCTGTTGCCTGGCATTGTGCAAGGGGCTTAACTCTCGTACTCACTAATATAAGCTTATTCTACCCTGATATATTCTTGTAATTCGTTTTTTAAAAATAATTTTACAACGCACATACTAAGAAAATTATTTCTATATATAATCCTTTTAACTATAGCATTATTCTCGCATATTTCTATTCTCGCGTACTTGTATTTCTATCTATCTGAACCAAGTGCACCGACTAAACGTACGCATAATCTTATCTTTTACAGGCTATTCCGCTTTTACCGAAGAATGTGGAAACTAAACCCAATCGCCGCTGATTTTGCACAAACGGTTTGTCGCGTCGCATTCGTCGGATTATTCGGAATTCGAGCAATTTTAATAAATAGTATATAACTGCGTCAATTTCCACGTTCTCAGACGTGACGGCTGTCTCG